GGCGTCCAAAGTAGGGGTCAAGGAGACGCTTAACTAGTTGCAAGGGGCTACCCATGACACTGTGAGTATTTTAATCACCAGTTGAAACATGTGTAAGTGTGAAGAAATCCCCACATTATTTATGCATTTAAAATTAATTGTGGGATCCCGAAACCTATTGAAGGGAAAGTAAAGTTTCCGGAACGTTAAACGATTTGTCATTCAGAAGCGAAAAGTACCTATTAGTGATACAGCTTTATGCTAATTAGGTAAAAAAAGATCTCATATAATATGTAGATTGCCAAGAACAAATAATAAAGTTTTTTTCGACGGTGGAAGTAAATTCTGAAGACGTGTATATAAAATAATGTGATGTGACTGGTTTGCTTAACTGGCTATTTTGACAACGGAGAAAATGGAAATTTTAACTACAAAAGGTTCTCATTCTATACAGGGTGTTTCAGTTCGAGTGTATCAAACTTTAACAACAAATAGAGCTCAATAAATAATTGAGAATTGCCTTATAAAGCAAGGGTCTAAGTCTCACCGTTTTCACTAAACAGGGCCGTATTGGTTGGTTTTTAAAATCATATTATTTATAAAATCTTTGCTACGCTTATAACAAATTGATTCAAATTGGATGTAGTGTGCACATGTGCATAATTTACAAATTTTTATAGGTCAGTGGCGTAGGAATGGGTAGTAAAGCGGGATTTTTTTACCCCAACTTCTACGCCAATGCCCTAATAAGCATTTGGGGTTCATTTTTAGATTCCGTGGACAATTCGACATAAAAAAGGCATACTTGTTGAAAATCGGTATAGTGTATTGTTTTACCGAAAATCTACGCCACTGACTTACAAAAATTTGTAAATTTTTCAGTAAATTATGCACATGCGTAAATGTTAACACCACACCAAATTTGAAACAATCTGTTATAAGCATAGCAAAGATTTCATAAATAATATGATTTTAAAAAACAACCAATACGGGCCTGTACAGTGAAAACGGTGAGACCCCTGCTTTATGAGGCAATTCTGAATTATTTATTGAGTTCTATTTGTGGTTAAAGTTTGATTCACTTGAACTGAAACACCCTGTATAATTATTTTGGGCTAACTGTAAATTTCAAGCTGAAAGGAAAAGCGAACAAAAATAGAAAAGTATATCACGATGAAATCACTATAATAATATTCCGAAATTCAATATGTTCGAATATTGAGGTAGAACTTTTAAAAAAGTTACCTCAAAAGACAAATTTACCTAGAATTTTAAATAAATTAAAATCTGATAGGTAGATCTATAAAATTACCTTGAACAAAGATCAACACGAAATTCAGCCATAACTAATAATAAGATAACTAACATATTTCTGCATTTTATGAACTGTTTTTGGTAGCCTCTTTTTAAAAGAATCTGAATATTATTAATAGCCATTAAATTGTATGAGACACAAAACTTTTTGAAAAAATTTTGTTAATCTCTCTAGATTAATATGAATTATCATTTTTATCTATATAAATCTAACATTATTAGTCTTTTCAATCGATCGTTTTTCTTTTCGTAATAAAAAATGTATAATTAAAAAAACTACCATAGTTCGTTACATAATTTACATGTAAGAGTGCATTGTTTTAATATTTGGTATTTTAAAAATAAGTACATACTTTGAATTAGGTAGATTAAAGAAAGTAAAACTTTTTAAGTTAAACATTATTATTTAGTATCTACTAGAATAATTATGATAATGGGTTAAAATAAAATTATTTATTTAATATAATTTAACTGCTTTAAACAAAACCATATGTTTGATTATATTTGTCAAAACAAGACTGCAATTATATATGTTGTAATTAGTTAAATGCTAGTGAGAAACTGTTGCCCAAAATTTTTACTCATTTTCATAATTCATGGCATAAATAATTGTTTGTTTTAATACTTAAATATTGTCGAAGTATTAGGTACTCAAGTAGTACTCAATGTTATTATACTCAAGTACTACTCAAACTTGTACACCAAATTACCCTGCGGTTTCCCCTCGCTGCTTCATACCTTGAAAAGAGTGTTAAGCGGAAAATCTCCTAGCAAAAATACTAGTATAACAAATGCATCAACGAGTCAAAAAAATCTATTCATTGAAAGATAATTACATTTAATTATTCCGCTCTATTGTATTTTAATTTTTTTGTATATGCATATACTCCGCATCAAGCTTAAAGCACCATTAAAAATGAATCTCAATTTGGATTTCTAATCTGATGTCGACGATTTTTTTTTTAATTAGATATTTGTATTGAAATTTCAGGTTTTAACAAACTTACTACTAGGAAAACAATATTCTTATTCACTTTAATTTTATTTACAAAAAGTAGAAAATTTTCTACACAGTAGTAACTCCGAAATTGGTAGTATATTCAAACGAAATATTGTTGAACATTTCTTTAAATATCGTATAATTTGTTTGAACTTACAATAACTATTATTTATTTCTATTTTTTCAGTCCGATTCGAGGTCGGATTGCAAAACGAAGTTATAGTTAAATTTATAAAAAAGCGATTGATTTTTACTTCTTTTAATAAAATGCAAACGATGAGGAAATACATTTTTTTCAGTGTAAATACAGAATTAAATTCTGCTCCTTGGTTCGCCCTGTATATTGATAGTCTAAAAGTTGAAACCAAGTGACCTCTTATACAATTTTAGGGAAAAAATGTTTATAATAATTTTCCTTTAAATAAGCGCAACTAAATATACAGGTCATTTTTTAATTTAAAAGCAAATGGTCATTATTTAAATCGACCAAAATTAAAAATACTCACAATTTTCAAAAATAAGAGGGTTTGTTGGCCAAATTCTAACAACTTTGACTAAATTTACATTTCTATACAAAAATAAATTCCATATATAAAAAAAAAAATAAAAAAATTGCCACTTTACTTTTTTATTTTTTCTAATGGTGCTTTATTTTTAACTTGAGCTCCTTATGTCTTTGAATTGGAGTATAAATTTATCAATATTATTAATGGATTGACTCCCATCAAATTATTAATAATTTCACCAAAGAAATAATATTTCCTGGTTTTTAATATATTATACTCATTTTATTCTAAATCAGGAACAATTGCCCAGTGCATAATTTTTTTAAATAGTCATACGTTGTTAAATAATTACGTTGGATATGTCGATAAAAGATTTAAATCAAGATGGTGATTGAAAAATGGAAAGTGATATAGAGTTTTTGCAAACTGGTAAAGTTTTTATAGATTTTCCTGGAAAATCTGGAAATGCCAGATAATTTTTTGGCCAACGTTTAGTGTACGCCTTGTTACAAAGATAGCAGATAGAATTCAAACGAAAATTAAGCATTTTTTTCAGTATAACGACAGTATAATGTTGCCAAGCATATGTCCGTATAAACTTTTTAGTAACTCTAATAATACGCTTTTTTTAATATATAAACTGCCAAAAGAGGGTGTTGCAAAACGTTATTCAGAGAATTCTAGTGCAGATTCTACATCCAAAGATACGAAAAATATTTCTATAAATGTAGATCTGCAAGTGCTTCGTTTTCGAATAAAAGGTGTCACAAAAAATATGTTTTTTTATTGATAATTTCTTATTTTTTTCATTGAAAATCGATTGGGTCAATACATTCATGACACATAGGTTTTAATTTGGTATAATCGACTGCATTTCAGACCCATCATGGGCGTAGATATGGGGGAGTACCTATTCATTTTTGACCAGAAAATCTACGCCACTGGTTTTTACTGTATTTTTAGGAACCTCATTTATTTTAGAGCAAAAAGGCCCCCTTGCACATTTGTCACTTAGCCAGTGGCTTCCGATCTATTGAAGATTTTTAAAAGTCATACTAATCTATGAAACCATTACATATTAAAAAACAGTTCACTATGGAGAAATAAATTACCCAAATTTAAACGGTTTCTAATGAAATTATCAATGAAAAACATATTTTTTTATTTTTATTTTTGACTCCCTCTATTTCGAAAACGAAATATTTGCGGATCTATAGGAATTTTTTCATATTTTTACTCTGAACATTTTGCATTTAATAATTTGTGTGTTGTATTTGTATTTGTCTGCTTTTTTCATTTGATAGATTTTTAGGTAGACAAAACTATTTTGATAAAGATAACCCTTTACTGATAATTTTGGCGCAACATTAATTTCATAGAATCATTTCACAAGGTATATTATATAAGTATAAAGATTGCTTAAAAGTTAACACCAATTTTTTATATGATTTTAGAAGCAAATGTTCCTAATAATTTGTTTGTATTAATACTAAATAATCGCAAAACTAAAATATTCTGGTCAATTACTGGAATCTGCCAAAATTAAAAATGATTCTTATATTTATTTAAAAATATACATTAAATTCTTTTATTTATTTTGACCAAACTTAAATATCCATGTCCATATCGAAATGAAGTCAATATAAAAAAATAAATCGAAAAATGTCAGTTTGTAATTCTTTCTCAATATAATTAATGGAATAAATATAAACTCTCATAATAAAATTCTTAATAATTTGACCTAAGAAATATTTGCTAATTTTGTATTGTGTTATTATTTATAAATGCCATTAGAATTTAGCTAAAAGTTACCTATTCTTTTTTAATTGTAGCTAATAAAAATATTCTCTTGTTGTATATCTAGATTTCCTTAATTTGGTGAGCAGCAACCAAAAATTAGATTAGTAGACAATTTTTTTTCTAAAATCATATCATTTTCCCAATTTGACACAAATACATATATAATTTTTGTAATACTTATTTACTCTTATTTTCTTAAATATTTTCGTTGGAGGTACTGACAAATAACTTTGGAAATCATTGAAAAGTGGAAACTGGAGTTTTTGAAAATCTTTTTTTTTATTTAAATTTACCTGAAAAACTGAAAAAAATCGGAGAATCTTTCAGTCAAATTTTGGTATGCACTCTGGATTTATAGAAGCTTGCTCATTTTTTCAAAATTCGGTAATTTTCTGACTTACCGTATCCAAAAAAACAGTCGCTGGCACCACCGAAACACTAGCTCCAATTCACAGATTTAAACAGATCCAAAGGATTCACCGACGAACCGAGCTGCAACTGACGGTCCTTGCGAGGAACCACCCCGACTTATAAGCTTAAAAAAAGAAGGAGAAAGTACTATGATATCGGACAGGACAGGATCGCGCGAGCCGCGAGGGTGTCGGCTTCGGAGATCAGCGATCGGCTTGTGAATTTGGACAGCGACAGACAGTTTGGTGTTGATTGAGCGGCAGTTGGCTCGGCTGTGACGATCCGCGATTGTTCTTCTGCGGGCCTTGTACGGTTTAATCCTCGACCGGGTTTAATTCCCGATTTAATTGGAGTTCCTGTGAACCGGTCCAATTTTTCCACGCCTGGGGTGTATTTTTTTTAACGGGAGAAATGCGATGTCTCTTCGCGGTTGAAGGACGTTTCTTCTGAAAGTTAAATATACACTAGTCAGAAAAATTGAAAGAAAAAAAAAATTGAAGCTTGAAGTTTCTAGTTTCAGGATCTGAAAGTCAAAATTTTTTTAGGTTGACACTTTTAAGAAATCATAAGAAATCCAGCGGAAAAAAATTTCAAAAGGTCCACGGGCTTCAAAAATTTCTTTTGGCAATCCCACCCGTCAGTTCTTTTAGTTTTTTTCTCGGATCCGCGCTCAGCGACCCCGAAAACCCCCGTACCAAATTTGGCTCGAATCTGTTATTTTTTGAAAATTCGTGATATCTGACCTTAATTGACCCGTTTTTTTGAGGTTAGAAAAAGAACCATCAATTCTGACCGCGGATTGACGTTCGGGGGGATCTTAACCATATAAATGAACATTTGAATATAGAAAACATTTTTTTTGTATTTTTCCTAGTAATTTTTCGTGAATATTTGCTATTTTTGATATGTGTTTGAGGTTAGAAAATTCCTGTGATATGATAGCTCAGTTTTGATACCTGATTCGTGATCAGGAGGCAAAAATACTACGCATAACATGTCGCTTGAAAAGTACAGGCAACTTTTTTTTTGTGTGGTTATGTAATTACTCGGAAACTAATAATCATACAGAAAATCTAAATAGGGTTTTGAAAACGTCAAAGTATCCTCTATAAAACGTTCTTATCGTTTTTTGATAATTTTTTTTTCGATGGTTGAAAAAAATTGTATATTTAAAAATTCTGGCTAAACTTGACACAACTTTATAAATAATGGATAGACTAAAAGTACTCCAAAGAAACCCTCAAGAGTTTAAATGACTTCGATTTTTCTTTCATTGTAATCCGAATCATTAAAATTGTCACCTTTATGAAAAATCTATTAAAGAATAAATTTTACATATTTTATATAAATTTTTATAAATTAAATAGCTATTTATGATATTATTTTGTTCCTGAAGTTAAAAAACTCGCTACGCTCGTTTTTTAATCATCTTCACTCACAAAATAAAATCTTACCTTTAACACGTATATCATACACTATTTTTTCTACAAAACAGTCGGAAGAACTTTAAACTCAATAAAAATAAGAAATCAAAAAATACCACACAGATCGCAGTGTTTATGAACCAAAATTTTCGTAGCAACCGGTACTTTTAACACTAGTGTTAAAAGTAACTTACTTTTAACACGCGTGTCAAAAAATGACATTTTTAACATCAAAAATGACAATTAAAAAGCCCACTTTTAACACTAGTGTTAAAAGTAACTTACTTTTAACACGCGTGTCAAAAAATGACATTTTTAACATCAAAAATGACAATTAAAAAGCCCACTTGTAACAGTTTTGTAGAAAAAAATATTTTTTTTGCAGAAATTCATATTTTGCATCAAAAATGAAAGAAAAAGTTGAAAAAACAAAATTTTTTTCGAGATTTACTTTTGCAATATCCACAATACAATACTAAGTTAAAAAAAATAACCTCTTTTTCAAAATTCGTTGCAAGCATAAAACAAATAGATTAAAATATTCCAATATTCACGAATTTTTTTTCTCGGAAAATATGCTTCTAATCGAAAAACTGGAGGAGGCACTTTTTTCTTAAAATTTCATGTAGGTGTCGACAATGTTTTTTATTTTTCAATATTTTAAAATGTTTAATATTCGGTCCGTTATATTGAATTTTGAAAGTCTAACGCTATATTCGGAATCAGCGACCCCAAAAATGTATAAGAATGGTTAAATATTTTGCATTAACTTTTTTTCGTGATATTACCTTGGACTGACCTTGAACCTGATCTGATCGGGTTAAGTGGACAGATTCGGATTCAGCGACCCCAGTAGCATATAGACATAATGGTCTGGTCTCTTGGACCAGGTACTTTTTTTGTGGCGCTGTGCTATCAAAGCCAAAAGGATCATGTTTGCTTTGAACAACGATAACACAGCGACAAATCATCTTCCAAAGCTCAAATTAAAGAGAATTAATAATTAGAAATAAATTTGGAGCCAGTAGAACTTTTAAAAGGGAAGCAAAGTTTTTGGAATTTTTTCCCGCTGGATTTCTAGTTACACAAAGTTGGTAAACGATAAATATTTTTGACTTTCAGATCATGAAACTAGAAACTTCAAGCTCCAATTTGCTTTTTCTTTGTTGCTCTGCGACCATTTTTCTCCAAGTCAGCTAAAAAAGGATTTCTTGTATCCTTTAATTTTTGTGGCTAGTTTAGTTATAGTTCAACTGTTTGTGAGTATTATGAAACTCATTATGTGTTTCAGGGTAAATTGTACTAGTAATTATTGCTATTTTACCTATGCTGAGAAAAATTGAAAACATTAAAATTTTAACAGAGCAAAAAACTTGTCATTTATTAACATCTTTTAATATACAGGGTGTCTCCTAAGTATATGTCATACTCTCGAGAGTGTAAAGCGGATGTCAAAATAACCCTAGTCTGTCATAAAAAAATCCTAAAATGCCCTTAACGGAGATAGAGAGCCCCAAACAGCTCTAACTTTTGAATCGACATATATAATTTAATGAAATTTTAATAATATTTTATGTAGGCCATAAAGGCTCACAAAACCATACTCGAATAGATGTTTTACACTATCAGGGAAGTCAGGAACAGACTTGCCACCCCACTCGTTGGGCCAAAATTTTGACAGGTGTCATTTTATAGAATTGAAAACTGAATTTTTAAATACTTTGAACATTCCTTTTTAAAATAGGTATTCTACGTTTGTTTCGATAAAATTAGCCATTTTTTTAAAAAATTAAGTTTTTGTATAACACGTCATTGAAATAATAAATCAGAATACTGCAATAAAATACCAGTCGTTTTTATGTCTTTAATAATGTGTTATTAGACAAAATTGTCTGATTGATTGAGTACACAAGACTAAATAATGGAGCATTATTCCTATAGCGAATATGCTGATGTGCATCTAATTTATGGACAAGCACTCGGCAATTGTGTTTATGGTAAGAAGAATTGTTTCTGATACAAGTACCTGCCCTCCAAGTACCCAAAGATTCAGAGTGAAAAACTGTTTCAATGTTCAAAATTAAAAAGCTAAAAGGCCACAAGAAAAGTTAAAATGACAAAATACATCAAAACAATATTAGAAATGCCTTGAATACTGTTAAAAACTTTAACATATCTTAAAAATCATTCGAAAAGTTCAAAATATTTCGAAATATATATTTCCAAAACATCTAAAAACTTTGATTCACTTCGAATATACCTCAAAATCAATTGCAAAATATTTGACATTCTGTTATTGATCTTTCTTACTTCCGAGTGACCCTTGACCTCTGATCTATAATTTTTTTACTACTTTTTCCCGTTAACTTTTGATATTTGGCGATTTAATGAATATTTATGAATTCTAAAGTCACTTTGACATATTTTGTTGCATTATAAAGTCGTTTAGGCTCATTTGAATGTTTTCTGAAGTCGTTTGCATTTTGATATTTTTTACAGTTTATTTATTAATATTTTTCGAAAAAATTTAAAGCTAATCCGAAGAATTTGAAGGTGTTTTGATGCATGGTAAAACATCTTCAAATTATTATTATTATGTATTTTGAGGGTGTTCTGAAGGATTTTGGTTTATTCTGAAACAATTTTTATGCTTTTTCAAACATTGAGATTTTGATGCATTTCGACCAGTTTTGAAGTATATTAGCTCTCGTATTTTTTACTCTCTTACTTATAAAGATATATTGCATTCCTAGATTTTATGGTATCAATTTGATCTATTTGAGTTAGATTAATACCTTTAAGACAGAATTAAATAAGTGTTTTGTATATTTTGCAATTTTGGAGAAATATAGCAATATATTTTTATATATTTTCAAGTTTTCAACATATGTATTTAGACATTCTTCGAAATTTTTGACATATTTCGAAGTACTCCTATGTTTTTTGGATATAATTCGAACACTTCCAAGTTTTCGACATACGAGTACTTCCAAATGATTTTTGGATATTTCGATATACGTATTTCGAAATATTTGGGATTTTTCGGCGTATTCTTAAGTTGTCAAAATTTCTCAATGTGATTGGAAGTATTTCAAAATTTTGAAGGTACGTAACTACGTATACACATCGGTAACCATCAGGTACAAATATCAACAAAAAATATATACTAACTTTGTTTTCGTGTTCCTTTGCCGTCCATCGCATTTCCATCGCTTTGAGACTGCATTTATTTTTTATAAACCGCAATTGTGGTAAAATCTGCAATAAAATCTAAGTACATGTATAGTAAATAAAATACAAGTAAATAATCCGTTTTATATGAGAAACGAGAGCAGCAATTTTACGCTCAATTTGTATCAGTTTCACGCTAAGAAGCAATCACGGGTCCACATTTTGGGTCGCAACAGTTGCAGAAGGATTTTTTCGATAATGGGTAACTACGGATATTTCGGTTCGACAAATATTTACTTTCTCGTTTTTTCCCTTATTCTTTGAGTTCGCCAGACAAAACATACACTTCGCACCACTTCATTTCAATGTACAAAACATGATGTAAGCTGCAAATTACAGTAGTATTTCCAAATATTTATAAAATCATAACTAGGCATATCGTAAACATATTCATCCGATGCGTTATTTTAGATAAAAACTTTTATTACCCCTTTAAAGGCATTAACATTTAATGACCTGACGGTCATGCTTAATTTATTACACAGTATATACTTAAATTAAGTTATAGTAATAGATTTCGCTTACTCATATTCAATTTTTGTGGCTGAAAATATATATGTATATGCAATGT